GTGATTGAAAGCACAGATTTTTAAGACTGGGAGGAATCATTATGATTTGATAGTCTGATCTTCTGCACAATACAGGCCAGAGGAGTCCTCTGGCACAAGGCTAAAAGCCAGGTTTCTAGCATGTATTTTCTAGGAAGTAAAGTATAGCCTTATTTTTTAAAAAGTCAGTGAAAGAAGAACCATCTCAGTCCTTCATAATGTATTCCAATTGCTAATCACTCTGAGTAATACTATACTACTCTTCCTAATCTCCACCAATCAATTCACGGACATCAGGAGTAAAACTTAACCAACTTTGAGCAACTTCAGAAGTGGTCTGCAGCTGTGGCAGTCACACTAGGTGCCTTTCACAGGCAGTAGAACAAATAGAAACTTTAAGGGAGTGATTCATCTAATATGTTTTAGACATCTCCTTTAGACTGAGATGAATTGTGCTTTACAATCTACTGAGAGTATTGCTTAGATCTATATTGACACACAGAGCTTCTAGATGGACCAGCTCAGGCACAGTCATCTATATTTAGCCAGATGAATCCTACCATCATGCATGACTTCTTTCTGTTCAAGAGTTTGGCCTTTCTCAGTTAGACACTTTTGGACTATAAGCAAACTGTCCCTTAGCCCTGCCCTTGTTAAGATGAATAAAGAGGGTCCCTTAGTATTTTACTTGTTTCATAGTAATAATAAAAATATTCTTACAGTCTTCAATTTTTCAGTTTCATTCTTGGACTGTGAACACTAGAACTAGAGATCTGATCATATATCAGGATGGTAAATATATCAGTAATAGTAACAACAACACTAGGTCAGTCCCAAGGTCCATCTAGATAAATGTCCTGTCTTTGACAGCGGTGTGCAGTGCATGATTCAGGCAAAGTTTAGAAAAGAAAAGAAGTGAGTGATATTTTCTGAACTCCTCTATCAGCTCCAGATTTGTGACAAATACAGACATCTCTGTCCTCAAGAGTGCTCTGTGAAAGGTACTTACAAGAATTTGTCTCATTAGCACAAGCTTTTTGGTCTCCATAATCATGGAATCATAGAAAATTTGGGTTGGAAGGGATCTTAAAGATCACCTAGTTCCAACACTCCTGTCCTGGGTAGAGACACCTTCCACAAGATCAGGTTGCTCAGACCTCCATCCAGCTTGGCCTTGAGCACTTGTACTCATCCACTGCTTCTCTGGTCAACTTATTACATTGCCCACCACCCCCAAAAGTAAAGTATATCTTCCTAATATCTCCTCCTTAAAGTCAGTGTCCCTTGTCCTACCACTACTTACCCCTGTAAAACATAATATTACAGGCTACTGAGTTTAGCAGCTTACACACAGAGCATTAAAAAATAATCCATCTTTTGTTTTGTTTTGTTTTTTTGTTTTGTTTTGTATTTGCCCTTCTTTTTTCCTATCCTTACTTGAGATCATCCTGTTTATCTTTATTAGTGGTTCTGTGCTTCAGCACTGAGCATCAGATCATCTGCTTCAAACTCTAAGAATTTTTCAGAATTTCTGTTTCTGGAGGTGTGTTTTTTTTTAAAAGTCTTTGTCCCTGACATTTGTGCTTGTACTAAGTTGTTTAGTACCAACCATTATCTACCAAAGCTGCAGCCTCAAAAGGAAGCACCAAGTGACAGAAACTGCTCTCTTCACATTCATTTTGGTGGAGGAGAACTCCTTAGTGCTGTTTACAGTTTTGTAAACAGAAGTATAGTGAAGTGCTCTGATAAAAATTGTTGTGAATGAGTGAAAGCTTTCTAAGATACTATTGACCATTACTGTTTACCATATTCTTCCTTCTCAACTAAGACCCTGAGAGCCCAAGATGCAATTCAGAGGCTATAAGCAGACTATAAAATTAAGCACAGTCTACAGTTCACATCAGGCTCAAACAAATCTGTTTTTACTGTTTGTGTGCCTAGGTTTTTTACCAGGAACAGAGGGTGGCATGGTATAAGCTGAGACATCAGTGCAGCAGTGCTACCCAGCAAGCTAAGCTTAAGTGGAGAGAACATGCAGGAGCAACTGGAACCTGTGAGTGGGAAGCTTATTTTGAAGCCAGAGGTACCAGCCAGGGGAGATACAGTTACTTAAAAACCCTACAAACAATTAAGGATCCAGAACTGGAAGTGTGCAAAGATAAGAACCATGAACAGATGTGGCCCAAAAACACTGGTCTGTGATTTTGTGTCTTTTGCGTTCTTTCCCTGACTTGCCTGAGTCAGATCACACAAAACAAGTTTCTGAAGGAGAAAGGACTTTCAGCCTATGAAACATAGCCAAAAATAGTTAACTCTAAAATGTTATTTACAATTTTTATCTTCTTCCTCCTGGAGGTAGAAATGTTGCTGACATCCTCCACAGGAAAGATGCCTGCCAGAGGGTGGAATGCATGAAAAAGGATAATTTCCTGAATCATCCTACGAAGGCGGCCACACTATGGAGGAGGAACAGAGCGACCTCTTTGCTTCTTCCCTGTTTTACTCCATCTGCAGATGGATGTTGAACGTGGGGAGTAGGAGGTATAGGGGAGGCACACAGGGAGTTTTGTACCTCCCACTCATCACATTTTAAGACACCAGCCCACTCACCCAGGCTTGCCCTCTCTGCTTTAGGCTGGTCTTTCATATATTAAAGAAGACCAGGGAGCCATACTGAAACAGACATTCTACATTCAAGTTAAAACAGTTATTTTATAGTTTTATATTTTCAAACACATTGTGGCTTGCTCTCTGTGCAAAACTTAAGCACAAATCCTGAATCCTGCTCAAAGCTTCGGACGTGAGGGGTCAGTCTTTATACAGATCCCTCATAAAAGGCAATTTTTGTTGCCTGTGAAGATGAAAAGAAGGAAAGGTAAAGGTTTCAGAATATTTGAGGTAGAAAAGGACATGCCTGGCTCTGTAGAAGCAGTAACTGTGAGAACGATATATCAGTCCTGTTGCATCTACTAAAAAATCTTTAACTGTTCATTAAAAAAATTCCATACAAAAAATATTTGAGTCACTCATACTCAGGCAGTAACTAGTATCTCTTACACTATCTGAAATAAGAAAGGTTTATAGTGATGAAGAAGTCAGCACACAGTTAAAAAACAGAACTTGCCACCACTAGGCTTTCATTTTTACACCATGAATAAAAGGACTTTCTTGGGGTAATCAGAAAACCATGAATTCTCATTGTACTATATCCTTTCATGCAATGAAAGGTTTTAGTAAAGTGCCCTCAGATTATATAATCTGCATATATCAGTTGACAAAAGGGTACCTGTGCTTGTATATATGTATAGGAATAAAAAGAAGAAAAAAATAGAATGAATGCAAAGGTTTGTCATTAAAAATTGGTTTAGGATGCAAACAGAATAGATAAATAAAATTAAATATGCGGTATGTCATTTCAGGTTGAGTAAGGATTTTGCAATCTAATCGTGTCATTGATTTAAGAGATCTGTTTCTACTGACACCAATGTCCCCTGAAGACTGTATGATTGTGGCCAAGGGTGACATTTCCCCTGGCTCTAGCTGTTCACAAGCAGAAATGCAACTTAATCCACTGCACTTGAATTGACACAGATATGTGAATCTGTAAGATCTGGAGGATCTGTATTTTTCTTAAAATGTAGTAGCTCTGTGTTGGATGAAAATTTTCTATTGGAACTGCAGCGTCAAAAACAAAAAACCTACTCTCTCCTGTGGAAGAGTAGGTTCATGGTGTAATTACTGCCCCAAATCAGCTGGCTCTAGACCAGTACAGAGTGAAATGTCTTGTGACAAAGAGCTCCTGAGCTGACCAATAACTCAACATCCACTTCGCTTGATCTTTGTATCACCACTGAGAAAGAATAAAGCTTCATGTCTGCCTATGCAGGGTGAATATAAATTATCACAGTATTTGCTATCGATACAGTAGCACAAACGTCAAGACAAAGCTGAGCAGATCTGCATCTCTAAGGAATATGAGATCATACACATGACTGACAACTGCTTCTGCAGGATCTGCAATAGTATAAATATGAAAATTGACTTTTAATCAAAATTATCTTATTAAATAAGCATTCATGTCAATGGCATGGACAACACAACGTTTATTTTATCAGACATATCCACTTACTCCAGTAGTTCAACAAAGCATTGTATATCGATTTGACAAAGATACTGTCAAATCATGTTGAGTGACTGCTTGTGATACCAGTACAAATCTTAATTTATATTCTGGAACTGTGCCCTCTCTGCCATCTTGGATCTCCCTACAAAATCTTCTAAGATGCATGAAAAAAAATCTATTCCAAATTTTTCAGATTTATGACTCTCAAATGAAAGAAGGAACAGAAATAATCTTTCCATTTGTCAGCCTGTCACCTACATGGAACAGACAAAGCTGCTGCTGATGCAGGAAAATTCTATTACAGGTGCAAAATCGACATTTTCTTAACTTTTTTTTTTTTTTTTTTTTTTTTTTTTTACTAATTTAGCATAAACATCTATGAAATCTTAGGGCAGTAGAATACACTTTCATTTTATGAACAAAAAGACAAATCATAATTCACTTCTGGTTTTGACTTTGTTATTTTGTGCAGCTGAAAAGCTAGCAAATTCTGCGTGGTGCTCAGAGGTGCATGTGCCTGGTTTGGGGAGATGTAATATGCAAAGCTGCTCTTTCACTTCAGTCTTCCACCGAGGAGACTGCAGTGGGAGCCCCTCCTAGCTCCCTTGAAATTATGAGGGAATGAGGATCACCCACTCCAGCAACCTTTCTGGCTGATTTCCACTATCAGTTATGGATGAAGACTCTCTCCAGACTGCAGAAAACTAAGAATGAGTTAATTTTTTTTTTTCTTACAGAGGAACATGTTGCTTAGGAAATGCATGCAAGTGTGAAATTTTATCAGTAAGCATTACTTTGATGGTAATATGGAAAACTATCTGAAACATGAATTAAGGAACATTTAAATAAGAATGACATCAATATAAACTAAAAACCTTAGAAAAAAAAAAGCCCTCACCTGACTCATCATCCTGGCATGCAATATCCCTTTATTCCATCCCAAAAGCTTGCACAGGAGACAGACGGGAACCTGGAGAGTGAAATGTGACAGGGAATGTGCAAGGTGCAGAGTGCTTTGCTATGTGCTTCCCTTTCAACCAGTCACTTCCTGGGAGAAAGCGGCCATCTCATCTTTATACAGCAGTTATATCTGACTGAACCCCATCTAACAGAGGACTTGACCGCTGCTTCCTGCCCTGATCTAGTGTAGCCAGACCCTACTCTACTCTCTGTTACTCTCCTGAGTCCACAGGAACCATTCCTTTTCCTTAAATTTGCATGGGTTCCTTTCTCCCCTCCTTTCTTTCCCTTCACATTCCATCCGTAACCTGAAGCCCCCTGTGACAGGGGGATGTGCTACATCTTGCAAAGGGATTCCTTGCTGCCCCCCAGCTTTCTTCCTTCTCCCTCTATTCTTCCTCTCCAAAGGATGGTAGGGGATGGAGAACTAGAAGCTACTAAATACCAATAGGAAAGAGAATCAAAGTGCAAAATGTAACTAAGCTGGGAAAACAATTTGTTTCCAATCCCTGACGTTAATGCCAAGTGGTTTTGCTGATTTGTTAATGCAGATGCAGCATCATATGACTTTAAAAATAATGAAACTAATATATGTGAGCTTCTTTCATTTTAGAAAAGAGTGAAGACTTGACATTACAAAATGAGCTTTATACCTGTGTGTCTGACCTGTCTGTGTGCAAAACTTCAGTGAGAACTTCAAATGAAAGAAAAACCAGATTTAAACTATAAATGGGTAGGGAGTTAAAATGCAAAGTGAGATTACTGAACTAGAGTAACCATATATTTTGAGAAGATTAACTGATTTTTAAAGTGTAGAAGAACTAGTCTGTCTGGATTTCAGCAAGGAATTCAGCATGATGCCACCTCAATAATATTTCTGGGTAGCATGAAACTAAGTTTGGAGAGTGGATCTCTGGAATAAAAAGTTTCCATTTTTGTTCTTAAAGCAGACTGCGTTTCAAAAACAGAGATCCTGTAGAGCAAACAGATTCCAGCATGGAAACTTGATTTTTGCCTCATTTTGAAAAGTTGAAGACTTCTTTTACTTTTTATAGACTTTATATTTGCAGTAACAGGATATTTAACACTGCTGGAATAGTTTAAAAATCTGCTTTGTCCAGAATTTATAAATGGTCTGCATCTCATGTATATAATGATGTATTACAGACTGGAAAGAAAATTCTTTCATATTCAAATTCCTTACAAATAGAATATCTATTTTTTTCTTAGATTCAAAAGGATTAAAGTAATTTTTAAAAAAGGAGAAAAAAACCCAGAGCCTACACTCCTTTGCTTCTGCCATGATGACATAAGTAAACCTCTAATTTTCTGAGAAAAGTTATTTTAAAGTTCTGAGACCAGAGCACTAGATAATTCACCATTTTTATTATAAGACTACTATGTTTATCCTTTGGTTTTAGTGGAGTTGGCATACTCATAAATCCCACCTTCCTCTGGCTGTTATTTCTGTCTGGTAAATTATTTTTTTATTCACCAGGCAATAAAAGGTCACTGGAAAGAGGAATATAATATTCACTCCCATAAAATAAAGTTAAAGAGTATTTAGCATTTATATCTTTCCAAGGCGGTAAACAAAATATGGTTTATTTGACTCAATGAAGACCTACGATACTGAAAGAGATAAATCTAATGACTTGTTTTAACAAAATAAAATAAATCTTTCAAGACAAATCTTCAATAATGCTGTATTGTTCCTGTGAAGGTCCACTGCACAATTATACATAGGTGCACATAGAAAGAGCAGCACTTTGGCTCTTACCTGCCAGAATTACTTATCAGATGCATAAGTAGATTTCTTAACCACTTCTGGAAGTAGACCACACTTCTAAATTGTTACTGTATTACATTATAAAAGTAAAACATTGCTTAGTAAAGTTTAGTACTAAATTTGATCATAAAATTACAGGAATAAAAGGGGTTTTTCATTTTTCATGAAGCTGTGTTTTGACTGAGGCATGGTTCCCACAATGTGTTTTCAAGAAGTAAAGTAAATTAGGTCCTTCTGAAAGGAAAATTTAATCCTATTTAGTAGGAAAAATTAATCCTCTAGCTTGGTTTAAAAAAATACGTTACAGCTAACCAGTAAATGCACCTAGGTGTATACTAAGACAGGATAAGCCAGAATTTTTTTAGAACAAAATTGTATGTGAAAACACAGTGAAAGAATCACTAATAAAATACACTTTTCATTTTGTAACTACAATATTCTCTTCAATTTTCTTTTTTTCTGTGGTGTCTTCATATTCCCATTTTTTAAATGCAGCCTGCATGAATGGGAGTTCTGCCAGAGAATCATTCTGGCCCCAAATAGTTCTTCAGCAAAAAGTAGAATTTTATATTCACAGCCCAGATTTTTCCTGGTTGAACTCATGTATTAATTGTGATCTCTTACGTGGACATCTAACAGATTAAAAAAATCACAAGTTATTCTGCCAATGGAGAGTTGAAACAAGGTTTCCTCCTAAATGTGGACTCAGTTTAGGAGTATAGAAAGAAAAGTGAAATAAAGTATTTCTGCATCTGACCTATGGCTTCTGATCAGTCTCAGCCTGTCCAGCTCTTTACAAACCAGAGCTAACTTCATTAATCTACGTTTAGCACAGTTAACAGCAGTGGAAGCCCTCGTTTCTCAAGAACTATTTATTCTTAACTTTTGCTGGCAAGCTGATGCCCCACCACAGGAGAGGACTATCGTAGGGGAAGTCCTTGGTGGTGGCAGCAGCACCAGCCAGTGTGGGGCCAGGCACCCAGCTAGGAGAGGGGGTGGTGTGGGTGTGTTCCTTGCCCAGCATGCAGGACTTGTGCACCCACTCATCATATTCCAGTAAGGCAGAAATTGATATAAAATGCTGTTGATGGCCTAAAAAATTATCTTGCAAAGTTAAAATTTCTGTTATCTGGGAAGTTTAGATTGAAATAACTGGCTCATGCTAACACATGGTAGACTTTTCCATTTCAAGTTTTTACAGAAGGATTATCATGAAAAAGCATCATAACTAGCTTTTTATATTTGGAGTAACAATTTCTTTATTTCTATTATTGTTCTCTGAAGTAAGAGAAATATTTTTATTGAAAAGGAAAGAAACAGGGAAAGAAAGTAAATCTGCTAATGGGAGGAAGAAAAATATAGAAGGAAAGATAAAATGTTTTGAGGGAAATTATCGCACCTGCAATTTATGTCTGAGAAAGAACTGGAGTTTTAGAGGAACTGAACCTGTAAGTTCTTACTGATGAGAAAGAACTTGAAATAGAGCTATTGTCAATAGCTTTGCATAAATTATTCACATTTCCAGTCTCTCAAAGGCTCTCAAAGTATTTCAGTTCTGCGAGGTGGAAGAATGGAAAAAGGAAAAGAACAAGTTCTGTTTTCTAAAGTTAGGAATCTAAACAGAACTGATTGTGTTCTTCTTACTGAATAGTTTCCAGCATTTCCATTGGAGTTAAGGCACACAACATCTCCTACAACCCCAGTTCCTAAGTTCAAGCAGACTGTCATGTTGTTTCTTCCTCGTAAATAAGCCTGAATCCTTACATAATTTTCCTCTCAATCAGTGATACACCAGCCAAGTCTGTTTTGAAAAGAGACTGACAGATTCAGCAGAATCAAGCTGTATTTCCAGTGCTCTTCTAACCACTAAAAACAATACTTTCAGAGACCCTCCACACCATTCCCTGCCTCAAGGCATGAGCACCTACACCTAGACCATCTCCAAGATAATCTACTTGCTACTTCATGCTACTGGTGTTTTAATAATGTGAAGAAAGTGGGAAAACAGTCCCAAAAAAACCAAAAGGAAATAAGAAAAGTGCTCACCTTTTGGACACTGTCATTTTGATAATCAAGTTACTTGCACTGACTCTCATTTCCATACTATTCCATTAATCAGATACAATAACTATTTTCAAGTGTAATACAAGCAGGATTTGGTCAAATCTGAAATAGTTCTCTAACAGTCCCATGTACCCACACTCAAAATCTAAAAACTAATTATTCCTTTGTTCAGCGTCCCAACTGTGCATTTGGAGAAGTTGTTCGCTCTTATGTGAGGATCCAGACATCCCATTCTAGCAGAAGAAACTTCCCCTAGCTGTCTGCATGAAAATCCACATCCCCACTAAGCATTTGGTTTTTGGCTATTTCTCCTTTTTCAGTGAAGGACCACTCTGATGTGATGCTGGAAGCTGCCCAAATGCTGTTGTATCTGGTAGGAAGACATCTCCGGAACAAGATCTCAAAGAGTAATTGAGGCTTGCTGGAACTTTTTCTTCCTTTCTACCTCAGTATTGAAAATCAAGTATAATCACTATTTATACTTCCACCTGAACAGCTCCCTGCCTTGGGCTTCTGAAGTGGCACCATGTAACTTCATAACTCCCATAAATCAGGTAATCCTGTGTAGTCAGTCCTAGAGGTGCCAGGAACTCATTTTTTAACCCAACAAGATTTATCGGGTGGTAATTTTTCATGCCTTCTGGCACCTCAAGACAGTGGATATTTATACTTTTCTTCCCAACTTATTCTCTAACATTTCAAAGCAATGACTGTATATCACAGTTTGTGTTCTAAAAGTATCACCTCATGACGAACTCCCTACGCATTGATACGCACAAGATCTAAGAGTTCTGCCATTTTTTTCCATGTCTGACTGTGCTGAGGGTTTTTACAACCAAAAAAGAGATATATCTGGTACAGTGTGTTTTGCACTGCTGTTTTGAAAGACCTAGTGATGTACCAGTATAATGGATCTCCCTACTTTGATGTGTGTGAAAACTTGCAAGCTACAGATTGTATATTATGCCCTGCATGACAATCTGTTACCAAATTTTGTCATCAATTTTTCAAGAGACTATTAAGAAGACAAATTACCTGCAAATAGGATACTGCAGGGAGTTTCTCTCTTAATAGTAAAGTGTTCTGATACTCCAATGATCAAAGATGGAATGATTGTCATCTTTGTCAGGGAAACTGGATCTGTGGTGAGAATCAGTAATGCTACTATTTTACACAGGTAGTACTGTCAGCTGAACTTTCCTATGCTCCTACTGAAACAGTTAGAGTTGAATGTTTCTGAACAGCTAAACATCCAAGGCCAAAGAAACAGTAGGAAAAATGCACATTGAGTCAGGCTTAAATTGCTTACCCTGGAACAAAGCTCGTGCTATAAAGCCTGGCAAGGAAATCAAACACACTGGAGCAATGAAGCACAAACTGGTCTAGACCAATTTTTTCTATATTACTCTTAATTATGTGATTTTTTTCTTAAGATATCTAATGAAATATTGACTGTTCTGCCTTGTGCTGTATTTGTCTTTTTGGCTAAACTACTAAGGAGTGCAGAGCTGACTGCAACCACACACATCCCACTGCAGTGACATATCTACTAATTGTTAGCTCAATGGTTCACAAAGACAGGTCTCTTCACTATAAACATGATACTGCAATACAAATATTACTGGGTGCCATCATCATGAATTTCATAATAGTAGAATGTTAATAACATTTTGTTTTTATTTATTTATGTTTTACCCTGTCAAAGTTTTTTTTTTCTAAGAGTTTCTAACTGTGAGACATTTTACAGTTTAGACATTCCCTATATACATTTATCTGCAATCTTACTGTTGTTGCTAGGTAAGCTATTGCCCTACTATATGTAACATCACCTAAGATCACATGTGTGCTCCTTAATAATGTGAAGCAAAGCACTATTATAGTTTCTTATTATGCAGTATTTGAGAACTAGTGCCTAGAAGTGAATAAAACACAGAAAAAACCAACCTGAATTTTAAAAGAACTATGACTAAAGCATGACAGTTAGTGCCTGAGAGTTTATTAAAGTTGCAGAGACTGCTTTGATCTGCATTGTACTTTAACAGCAAAGGTAAAATTGCTACAATTAATCTTGAGTTTGGGGGTGTGATTACAAAAGAAGAAGCTGAATTGCTCCTTCAAGATTCACAGAACTAGGAGAAATGCTGACACTTGGAGGAAAACAAATAGTTTGTACATGAGGTGTCCCAGACTGTTTTTAAGTTCAGGGTTAGAACTGATTTTGGGTCATGGTCACAGAAACATGCTAATTTACACAGCTTGATGCTCAAATCAATTGCAGTTTGGGAACAATTTCTGTTCACATTAACTAAGTCTCAATAATGGTTAGCGCTAGTAAGGGTCCTGATTAGATTTACAAAATGTAGATAAATTATTACTTTTGCTACGTGATCTTGGAAGAAAGAGGACACAGAAACAGGAGACTGGGCCAGAGCAAGAAGTATTTTTTTTTTATTCTTTGCTTCTATTAGCTCTAAAGATGAAGTCTGATTAGTGCCATAGACACCAGGAACTTTTTTCTTATTACTACTGTATGAAATATAACCCCTGAAAAACAGGCTAACAATTGGTGTGAAATGGGAAACCAATTATGTTTGATTTTGGCCAGGGGAACAGTGTCAAACAATTGTTAAGGATTATTGTTAACAATATGACAAAGGCTGGCAAAAACATATTAGAAAGAGCAGTGCCTGAAGTGCTTGGTTTATTTCTGTACCTTGCCAAATCCCCGGCCTAGTCAGTGAAGCTGTCCGAGCTAGCAATTTTCCATCGGTCATTTTCGTAGTTGGAAAAGAGTGTTTATTATCCACAATGAGGACCTTCAGGTACTGAGTAATAAAATCAACATGTGGTGGTCCCCTGCCTGCCTGTGATCTAACTTCACTTGGCCTCTGCTACATATTGCAGAATATAATGGAATAAAAACCATTTTGCAATTTTCTTGTATGTCCTCAACTAGGTCTATGTGCAGTATCAATATCATTAACAGTATCAAGCCACTTATCTAACACTTAACACTAAACTCAAGTGCTCTTTTGTGGAAAGACAGAATCCATACCATGCCTCAGTCAGACTAGCCTTCATGTGGTCCAATAGAGCCATGAGCCATCCACTGTCTTTTCAGCATTGTGCCTAACCCTAAACTTGAGAAGGGATTTGTGCCTGGGGCTCCTCTGCAGACCTTCCTGGAAGGGACCCTTCAAAGACATTGGTGGCAGAGTTCCTAGTGGGCCTGGAGTACAGGCAACTTGAACTGCAGCCTGCTGACAGTTGGTACAGAATGAATTAATGATAAATTGTAAAAAATCTACAAGAATAAGGAAGATTGTCAGACTTACATGAGCAGGTAATGATAGAACAAAAGGGAACAGTTTTAAGAAATTCCTTATTCAGAGGGTGGTGAAACACTGGAAGAGGTTGCCCTGAGAAGCTGTGGGTGCCCCATCCCTGGAAGTGTTCAAGGACAAGCTGGATGGAGCTCTGAGCAATCTGGTCATGGGCATTCCTGCCCATGGTAGGGGTGCTGGAACTAGGTGATCTTTAAGGTCCCTCCTCTCCCAAACCATTCTATGATTCTGTGACTCTATGATTATATGATTTGCATACTCCACATGCCCAAACTAGCTCCAACGATTTTCCATAACTAACCGATAACCAACCCCACCTGTAGCATTATGGCAAAACCCCACCCTCAACAGGCACATAAAGTGTAGGATCCGGTGTGTCCCAGCCCTCATTCTCACTGTAGAAGATAATTAGAATTCAAACATTAAGCAAATTTAACAAACTTAGAACCCTATCCACAACCCTACAGGTACTGCTAAACCAGCAGCATTCACAAAGCTCTTAAACCCATATGAACAAGGTGTCAGAGGATTAAGGTGTAAAACTATCAACCCAAGCCTCAGTCCCACTCTCAACCCTAATTCAAACAATCACCTTGAGTCTAATCTTTCTTGCCCCTTGCTCATTCCAGTTTTGTCCTAGGCTCGTACAACGAAGAAATTTGAACAGTTAGTCTATGTCTTCAGCCTTTTCCCACACACAACAGTGGATCAAGAAGAAATTACCCATTAATCTTTTGTCATAAATCAATTTCAATTCAATTGTTGCAGAAAGCCCAAATAACTGACTTGGTTAAACTAGTATCAATAAATCAATGTATCTAATATTGTGAATTTTGAAGACTAAAACTAAAAGCAAACTTTCAACTCTTGGGATTTTAATGAAGAGCAAACCAAGACACTAACATACATAAAGCGAAATGTTTCAAAAGTTTAAGATATTCTATAAGCTACATTTATTCTTCTGAATGTTCAGTTGTTTTGTAAATTTATAGAAGAAATTTTTCCAAGAAATACCAGATCTAAATAAGAAAGGCTATTATATCACCTCTCAAAAACATGAACACACTAAAGTTAGGACCCTGAAAAGCAACAAAACTGAAGGAACCTGTAAAACAGAAAGCTATTGGAGAGAACATATGGAACACTTAGCAAGATTGCCTGAACCAGAGGACTGCAGAGAGAATTTATGATTTAAAAATTTACAATAGCTCAGTTTGAACAAGTTTTAACCATGCCTTAACCATGCAAGTTTTAACCTGCTCCCTTTGAAAGGAAGCCACAGCAACTCTCAATATCTCTCAAGTGAGCAACAGCCCATATTTTAAGCCTATCAGTTCAAAATTTCCTTCCTAAAGTTTTTCAAGTATACATGTAGGAAACAGGAAGAAGTATTCTTGGGAAATATCTAAAGAAAAACAGTAAGAGTTTGGATGATCTGAATGCATACTAATTTCACATGTCCTATGGATGTATAATTTAATAGATGATACCAGAGAATGTAATATAGATTATGTTAATAGGTTATAGATTATGCTAACAGAGTGAATGCCTGTGGAATCTATAGAACAGGAGAGAAAATTCCTTCCTTCTTAAAAAAAATTTTGTCTATAGCAAAAACAGAACTGTTTGCTCAATTAAAGTATTAAAGAATTTAGAAGATCTTGCCCTATAGTTTCCAGTGTGAGCAATAATTACAAAATCTGAAAAGCATATTTAGGCTCAGCCCTACAACCTTTTATGATGAAGAAGTAAGCCATGTCACCTTATTGCAGTCCCCACCATAAGAGAGGGTGACATGTCAGCAGTGGTGACACTCCAGCTTAGCCCGCAGGGCTGGGGGAAAGGACTCCACTTTGCCCAGTCAGAGGTGCTGGAGCTGTAGCCCACTGTGCCAGTGGGGTTGCCAGGGTTACCACAAGGATCTGAGTGTGGAGATTCAGGATTGTAATAGAGAAGCTCTGCTTCACTAAAGGAAAAAAAAGAAAATAGAGATGATTAAATACTAGAGGATTGTTGAAGAAATAAATAAAACTGAAGAAAACATTAACAGTTATATACAGGCAAAATGCCAGAGCCGGCAGAATGACTGCTAAATCCTGAACTATGTGGAATTTTAAAAAGTGTTTGATAAACCTGGGGAAATTTTTTGCACAATTACATTAACATTCCTGTCTCTGCTACACCCTTTACCACTCACACAGTATGCTCATATTTAACCCAGCTGTATCACCAGGAGACAGACGTGTCTTGTACCTGGTGCAGGGTAAGATGAAGCCTCAGCTCCAGCCACCTATGCTGGTTCAGCACAACTCCTCCTGCATTTGGCTGCAATGAGTCTCATCCAGGAATTTTTAAACTGAGCTACACATTAATTCAGTGTTCAGTTGTAAGGCAGCAATTGACTCAGGACCAGCTGCTGTGCATTGTCCCCTTTTGGCACAGCAAGTCTGTGTGAGACAGGGTAGCCAGGGCTGAAGACCAGAGCACAGGCATGAAGCCAGGCTGCTGAGTGTGCCAGGGGCAAATGGGCAGCCCTGGATAAGCACAGCAAGAGTCTGGCTAATTTTATTACAAAAACCCCTCATTATTACAAAATTACTCAGCTTGTATCTGACTACAGAATTCAGTTCCTGGTATAAACACAGCTTTAAAATATCAGTTCAGAAACTACCAGTGGTTGCTGTGAAATGAACTAATACTTCAAAAGCCTCCTAAAATTTTGAGAAAATTCCATCAGAGACTTAAAATCACTCATGCTTTTCATCATTTTGTTTTGACTTTGTTTTTTCCATATTTTTTCTGCTTCTACATTATACTCTGCATTGAGGAAATTGCCTTCCTTGCCTTATTTAATGCAATCCATTCTTGACATGGAAACACTTACATTTTCATGATAACAATGAAAAATCTTATGTTATCAAGATAAAATCAGGAAGAGGTGACATGTAATAGAAAAGTTTGAGAGAAACCTTAAGAGTGATGCCCCATCATTTGCACAATTATTTACAATACAGTATCGTACTGGGAAAATACTTTGAACAACATTTGCACTTTTTTTGAGGAATTGCATTTTGTATTTGAAGTTCAAACATCTACTAAAAAATAAAATTAAGAAGACAAATATAAAAACAAAAGCTAATAATTAGTAAATTCAAAAGGGCACTTTACTCGGGTAAAAATAATTTTCTGACCTTGGATATTTAGCCTTGTATCTTTACTTATTGTGCAGGTTGTCAAGCAGTACAATTTAATTAGAAAATGGTGGGTCATTATCTTTAAGTCCACACTGTGAAGAATTCCACCAAGAATCAAGAATGCTTATTGTGGCTATTTCTTCTTTGCCCCTTAATAATTGGTGAACATGCAGTGATTTTAGGAGATAAGGGAAAGTAATACAGGCCAGAGGCCCAGGATATTTCTACTTATAGGTCTTAAATCCATGTGAATGAGTAATCTGTTCATTATCTGCAGTAGTGATTAGTTCAAACACAGGAATCTCTTCATCTGGAGTGATGAGTCTTGTTTCCCCTGAACACTTACAGGGGGTTTGGCCTTTAATGGTTATTTAGGTACCTAAGTGGCCATTTCTGTATTTCTTAATGCTTGGCTTTCTCATAGGAGGAACTGTGAAAGCCTTAGGCTTCTGGAGGTTGTACTCATATCAGCAAGCTTTGCATTTCTGTATTTCCTTTGGACACATTCTTCAAGCTGTGATACCTCCACAGCCTCTGCTTGGCACACTCCAGGGGTACCTTCTTTTTCTGCTGCTGCTTTTCTCAGGAGTTTTTAAACTTCTTTTTACTCTTTCCATATCTCCAACAGGAGGAGATTCAAACTGGAAGAGAATGTAGACAGGAGACAAAATGCTGCATATGTCACAGACAGGTTTGGGGTTTCATTCTGGTATGAAGCTGAAGAAGAAGCTGACAAAGATAAGAAAAAAATATCCTAGAAAGTATAGAAAATGTAGGAAAAAATGTAGCCAGATTAATTGTTTGTGCTAATGGTATGAAAGCCTATCTTCAAAATATTCAATGTATACATGGATTTGTTCACAGTTTTTCTTTCTTTCTACCCATCACCACATTTCTGCAAATTTGAATTGCTGGGCCAAATAATTTCAGTAATACAATTACCACATGATTCTGGGGTATCACAGAATTAAAGGGATTAAATGCCTCTCAAAAGGTTTATAGTTAGATGTCAATTTATAACTCAAAAAGCCTGCCTGCAATTCAGCTGTCCAAAAAAAAAAATATATTTAAGATGCACACAGAACTTTTGATCTAAATGAGAAACGGGAAGAAAGAAGTCATCATGTTAAAAATTTCAGGGTACATTGAGGCTGACTTTTTGGGTTTTGTATTTTTAAGATACATTTAGAGGCAACTAAAAGAATTTTTCCACCATATCTAGAATAAATGAGAGGACAAAGGGAGGACTGTCCAGAGAACAAACGATGACCTACGAGATTAAAAAGAAGTCTCTTTGTTGCAATTTTTTCATCACTTGTAAGTGACAAAGTGCCAAAAGACAGGTTTGTGGCAGCAGCAATATATTTTCTTCAGGGCAGGAAAATCATCAACAAGGTGTCTGTATATGTGTAGCACTGCTTGAATATGAAAGCAATTTTCTGAAGCCCTGTGGCCTAATTCTATTGTTTTCATCAGGAATGAATATTCTGGATCACAGTCTTCAGCAACTGATAATACTGGACACATTGTGAAAAATGGATGAGTAAGTTCCTGAGATGACTGTTGGACAGGGCTCCAGTATCACTGACAGCAATATTTGCATTTATCTAAAAAGAGATTAAATGCTAACAAGGTTTCAGTACATTTATCTGCCTGCCTTCTGTGTATGGTTCCCATTAAATTAAAGGAGGAAAGAAAATACGTAAAGGGAATAAAATATAAAAGAGAGAAAAGAAACAAAAAACATGCTGCATGTAGAGAACAACAATCTACCATTTTCAAAAATACATTTATTCTAGAAAAATATCCACTAGAGATGAGAAATATAAGCAGTGATACAACTGCTCCATCAAAGTATAGGTAATGTGGGATAATAGATATTATTAAATATTCCACCTCTAATGTACTAATACACCTT